AATAGGCCAAAATAAAAGGGTAGAAAACCTGTCGAAACAATGGAGAAGGACCACTGGATCGGTATCATGTTGAAACCTTGGCTTCACACAGCTGCTCATTATACAACTGTCGGAAAATCCAACCTGATTTGAGAGAGGCAGGATATAAGGAAACAAAAACAGGGCAAAGATAAGTTGCATGGCCAACAATCAGACATGAGAAATTCTGGAGACATCTTGTGCCCACAACTGCTCATTTTACTCGCTGGAGAATATAACCATCACAATAGAAGTGAAATGTTTTTTCAAGTCAAAAGGACACACACACATCATGATTCTTCACTTTAATCTAATCGGCTGTATGATGCGCATATTATGATTCTGGGCCTCAGCTCTCGAGGAATACTTTAAACAGAACCTTGCTGGATGAACACGAGATGGTCATCATTTATCCCCTTTAGACTTAAATTTAGAATGCACAGCAATGGATGCAACACGCGAGTGACAGAAAGTTGTCATTTTGACTTGAAACACCAGTAAGAGACTTGATTTCGTTTGAGCAAATGCTGAGGCTATTAAGAATGCAGTATATGTTCCATCTCAACATCCGTGCGTATAATAAATTAAGTAAAAATTTTTTATCCCAGACTACAAAAAGAAAAGAAGGAATGAAATAGAGCAAAGCTTGTCGATTTCAAAATTCAGAGCAAGAGGACTCAAGAGTGAAGGCCCTCATACAAGGCTTTGATCTTTTAAAACCACACACCGAAAAAAAGGGGGGCAACATTGTGCTACAACATGCAGAAGAATAAAAAGCTTGTATATATACCTTCACAGGAAGCCTTTGAATCCTCTGAGCCAAAGTTCGTGCAAATGGATCCTTGATTTCTTTAACTTCCTTCGGTAAAAACGAGGGAAACTCGCCATCAACGGCAATAACATTTGTACCCAATCTTCCTCCGCAATTAACCCCCAAATGCATCGAATGCTTCGAACCGAATCGTTCTCTTGCTCCTAGAATCAAGGATGGTCTCAATGAAAAAGCTACCATTTTTTCCAATCAGAAACCAGCAATGCCGTGCAATTCAATTAAGCAAATATCGAAAGAATAAGCTGCTAAATCATGTAGTACTAATATATCAGTACTCAGAATGGTTTGAGTTGCACATGCATTACTCTGTATCAGGGCCGGTGTGGAGGCGGATGGTGGGAGAAGTTGTGAACTCGAAGTAGTGAATGAGAATACCAAGGTGGTAATGGGCAGCAGTACAGGCATGCAAAATGTGCCTACTCTACCATTTCTGATCAAAAGTTCAAAACTGCCCACCTCTCTCCCTCTCCCTCTCCCTCTCTCTCTCTGTGGACGGTGCATGTGAGCCCCCCGGCTACTGTGTAGCAGTAGCCCCACGTCAGTTTGAAGAAAGTAAAAGATATCTGTTTGGATTGGGAGTTTTTCAAAAATTAATTTTTTAAATATAATAAATTTTTTTAAAAATATTCTAAAAAGTAATTTAAAAATTAGTTTAAATTTTTTTAAAATTCTAAAAAATATTTCAAATTATATTTTAGAAACTCTTCTACTCTTAAATATCTCAAAATATTTTCTGAAAATATAATTTAAAAACACTACTATAACAAAAAATTTTAAAAAATATCTCAAAAAACAGCTAATTCAAACGGAGCAACGTTGAACAGCTTGGGCCATGGACTATTAAATAGTTTGGATTAACTATTCTAAACCTATGATTTCAATTCAAAAGTGGGCCTTCCCGTTGGGTAGTGTAGTGTCCGTTCGTACGAGATGCCTGGACCTGACCTAGGTTAGTATAAACTTCATAGGTGGTTACGAATTTTGACAGGGCGCAAAATCCATTCCACTTCCTTTAAGGCTCCAACAAACTACTTCTCCGGAAAGGGACAAAGTAAATGACAAAATAGTCCAACAAACCATTTGTCAGTTTCAGAATGAATGAAAAACGCAGCACGGCAGCCGCCCTGCCCCACTCGAAAAGGGGGCAAAATAAATGACAAAAAAGAGAGAAAGACAGAACGCTAGAAGGAGGGCTTGAACCTCCGACCTTGTGGTTAACAGCCACACGCTCTAACCAACTGAGCTATTCCAGCTTTGGTTTTCTTTGTATCTTTTATTTAATACCAAACGTGCCCACACTAATACTTTCAATATTCAAATGCACGATGAATTGTGTTGATTCATTGTGCATAATATATAGATTAGTTTATCAAAGAAATCACTTTAGCATAAACAAATAGGAACAACAAAAATCGAAAACCAATATGTAGGAGCAGTTAATAGTAGGCCTTATTTGGCAGACAAGTTTTTTGCCAAATTTGTTTGCTATGAGTTTTTTAAAAACTTTAGTTATAGTAATCTCAAAAAACTTTTCAAAGTCTTTAAATTATACACTTCAAAATATTCAAAAAAACCACACTTCAAAATTTTTTTTAAAAACTTCTATAGTAAGCTACAGTATAGTTTTAGACAAACACCCAAAAAACTCACTTGACAAACGGAGCCGTAGTTCAAACTGATCATGAGTTACAGAGATAGCCTATACCGATTTTGCCCCTAAATTTTAATACCTATAAATCATTAAAGAACACATATTTAGATTTATTAAAATGACATTAGTTTTTAAAATTAAACTGGATCTCATGCTTTATGAATAGTAAGATAAGATGTGCATTAAAAGTGCTTATGAAATTAAAACTCTCTTTTGGCTTTAAAAAGTATGTAACACCTCTAAATTCTAATATTATCCGTAACATAATTTCTCTTTGTTAGTGTGTAGCACGTATTCTAGTTAGTAAACATTGGTATTATACCTATATAATTTGTGTTTATATGTTTTGTACCTATACAATTTTTAAATTTTCAATCTTGTCCTATAATTGCACCCCTTAAAAATTTTAAAATTTCCTATGTTTTTTTACTTTGCCGCTTAAGTTCTTAGAGTGTACGATTAACATTTAGTTTATACATGATGGCAACTTCGAAATGAAACCAAGTACTAGTACTAGTTAAAAACAATAATTTTAAAACTTTTGGCACATAAAAAAAAATGTTACATAAAAGTTTTTTGTTGTCCATTGTACAAAATTTTAATTTTCATTTAGTTTTTTCTAGTGATTATTGTTTTAAAACTCTACACAATTCTAACAAAATTCACTCGACCATCATATTGGTTATCTTTTTTTTTTGGTAAGAAATAAGTTACTACATTTCAAAGAGTTAGTGCAAAAAATCGAGTTTAAGATCTCGAATTTATAAAACAGGGCAGACAGAATGCCCAACAATCATTCTATACTAGTTTTGTGATGGTTGCAGGCTGATTATTGAACACTTTGAGACCTTCTTCCTTTGTTTCTACACTCAATTTTGCTAAAAGCTCTGCACAGCAATTCGCTTCCCTGAAGACATGCTTAGTGGTAGTTGTAAGGAAGCTCCTCATGATATTCATGCAATCATTAATCATAGAAGAGTAGGTGTAAAAATCATTAGTGTTTGTAGAGATCATATGAACAATCACAGAAGCATCCATCTCAATATGATGGCGTTGAATACTAAGAGATTTTGCCAACAGAAGCCCATCAATTAATCCCCATAATTCCGCAATTGTATTTGAAGTTCACCCCAGATTTCTACTAAACTCACAAATCCATTTTCCAAGATGATTGCATATGATTCCTCAGGTCCCTGCTGGTCCCGGGTTTCCAAGTAAAGCACCATCAGTGTTGAGTTTGAAGGTACAGGGAGGGGGTGGTTCCTAAGGAATCATGACAAGATCCTTGCGTCTGATGGTTTTACTACTTGTGGGTCCTATGCTTAGGAATTCTGCTGCTTTTGCAGTTCTTGTTGAAGAAAGGTTTGGTGGACAGGATTGAGATTCAAACAGAGCCATATTCCTATTCTTCCATAAAATCCAGCGGCCAAATGCTGCGATGGTTCCTCATGTTACGCCATAGTGGGGTGATAAGTCTGTCATGTTGCATATTTTCTTTAGCCAGGAGCAAAGATTTTGTCATGCAAAAGGCTAAAAATTCCAAGGTACAACTATTTTTCTCCATAAACTTTTGGCTTTAGAACAGAAAATCAGGACTTGATCGGTGTCTTCTCTATTATTATTGCATAGAGGACAACGATCTTCTTGGACAACGGATTTTCGGAGTAGATTGCTCTTGGTTGGGAGCTTGTTTTGGCATGCAATCCATAGGAAATATCTTACTCGATTACTAGCCATGATCTTCCATGTCCAATCCCTCGCTGATCTTTCAACAAGGGTGTTATTTGAGTAGAAACTCTACTGCTGATTTAAGGCTAAACTGGCCATTTGGGGTAAGGTGCCACTTCAGGCAATCATCCACAGGAGAGGTAATTTATCTAGGAATGGCCTTAATAACTGTGAGAACAAAATCAGGGAGTATTATGGAGATTATGTTGAGGTTCCAAAACTCTCTTTCTCCAAACATTTGGGAAATCACCATATTTTCTTCCCCTTCAATAAGTGGGCCAGCAATTGGTTATCTAAGATGTTGAACAAAAAATTTTGCCTCAAACTTTATAAATTGTACACCAAAGTAATTATCCCTCACTAACCTTGGTTTTCCTTTTAAGATAAACAAAAAGGCAATCCTAATTTAGAAATTATACGATAACTCGTAAAACGTTTATCCATAAAAAAAATATATAGAAGATACTACTATATGAAGAAACACAAATCTTTTATTTCTTTTGGTCTAAGATGGCCTCGAGATTAGTCTCAACACTCCTAAATAACTTTGTTTTTCTTTTATGAAAACAACTTAGTGAAAGAGGTTAAATTTGAAATATTGAGAATATCCTTTATTTATCATATAATTTAGAAAAGGCAACTTGGCCCATAAAGTAGAATCATCATAATAGTGGGGCATGTGTACAATTATTCTAAACTTGTGTTGTTTTTCAACGTGCTGAGGGGAAAATTTTTACATTAATATATCTCGTGAAAACAGAGCAGAACTGATTTACCTGCCACGTGTAAGTCACGTGACTTAGAAAAGGAGCGGACGATTTGCAATCCCGTCGTTGCAATCTGTAATGGGCAGTTCAAGTTCTTGTCAATCTCGGCCGGTTTACGTCGTAACAATCGGTAGTCCAAAAGTAGTATAGACCCAAAACGCACGGACAGATACGTCTATATGCTCAGAGGTAGTTTAACAGCTCGAAATTCTGTTGATTCGGACGACGATATTCACGTCAAGAAGAACAAGGAAGAAGAACCAGTTGCAACATAGGAATCGGCGTCGATGACAGAGGACAATTTCCCTAGGGTTTCCTCTTCTGAATCTATCGATTCTTCATCGACGAAGCAGAGGTGCTTTAATGTTGTCTATCCTGATTAAGAATCCCTAATTTCCTACTTTATGAACGCGGCTTTTGGATACTCGTTGAATTATGTTCGGCATATGTTTACTAGTCCATTAATCTGCAAGTTCTTAAAAGGTCGATCTAAGCGTTTATGAATTTTAGAGGGAGAAAATATTTCAGTGCTACTGGAGAAGGAGGTTTATACAATGAAATAGGCAAATAAATTGTGTTATTCACTTATTAGTTGTTATTTTGGACTTCGCGGGAATTTATGTTGGAATTTTTTTTTTGATTTATTGGTGTCTAATTATTTTTGTTTTCCAAATTTGGCATTCTGGATGCAGAGTGTTACAGTAATTAAGATATTACTGACACGGCAATTATAATTTCCAGACTAGGATGACTTGCTGATACAGGAATTTATTGTTGGCTTTAGTTAATGCTGAGAGAAACATGCTAGTATTTTCTTGCTTCTTAATGATGTTGATATGTGCAACTGAAGAATTGTTTCTTAAACTTACCTCCACCTGCTGAATTTTTTTTTTTAAAAAAGGAAAAAAGTATTGAAAAGAGAGAAAAATGAAACTTTGAACGAAAAGAAAAAAGAAAAGAGAAAGAAAATTTAGGGAAGAAAGTGCAAATCTGTATGAATCCTGCACAGCTTCATCAACTTATGGCTATGGTTGTGTGCATGAGCTTCAAGCAGTTTTTGCCATGGCAGTGATAGTATGTATTTATTTATTTATTTATTTATTTTTGCAGAAAAAAGAGGAAGTGGGATCAGCCTGCCGAGTCATTGGGTTCATCTGGAGTAGCAGCTCCTGGTCTTCTTCTATTACCAAACTTGGGATCCCTTCCTGGAGTTGCATTACCTGGTGTAGCTATAATTCCTAGTGCTTCTTTCTCAAATTCTCTTACTGCTAGTGCCGCAACTATTCTGCCTGTTATCCAGTTGCCTTTACAGCAACATGCGACTGCCATTGCCCAAAAAATAAATCAGGTAAGAAAATAAAATGGTTAAGTAGATACTTTTCCCCTTCCTCATCATGGCTGTGTTTTCCTATTGATAACCTGTTTTGTGTTAAGCTTATCCTTAGACATTAAGTGGGAATAAGCTATTGTATACAATTCCACTGGTGTTAAGTGGCCATCAAATTTCATTTATTCAACTTTCTACAGAAAATAGGATTAGTTTTGAGTCACTGATTCCCCTACGCTCTGTTGTGCTAAATAGAAATCGTCTATGTATTGAAAGATATTTATGTAATATTAACTAACATTTCAAAGAAATTGTTTTAATACCTTTCACGAGCAATCATCACTTCAAACACTACTGGTATGAGAACGTATTGGTGGTGGAAGTAGAGGTAGTGAAAAGTTGGTGTGTCATAATTTTTTTTGTGTTTTGATAAAGTAGAAGGAGAGTTTATTTGCTGTTTGAATTATAAAGACAAGACAATGTTCTGTTCCTGTCACAAATTTTTTATTGTTAGGAAGACATTTAGTAATCATAGTGTCCTAATTGTTTTATCTAGAGCCAGAGTGTTTCTTTAAACATATTTGACATGTAGTCCAATTGTGCTAATGTAGCCTAAGATCCAAGATGAACTGATAGCACGAGAAATTGTTATCAATGATGCTGATTCTACTGTGCGCTATAAGCTCACAAAACGCCAGACCCAGGAAGAGGTAATTTTTTATGGCTCCAAATGTTAATTTTTTGATCAAACGGTTTGAGAAACATGAGATACTTTTTGTTTATTGTAGACAAGTGTTTGAGACTTACGCACACTTTGTCCTCCTACAGATTCAGAAGTATACGGGTGCCATAGTAATTACTAGGTTAGTAGTCTTCTATAGCTTTCTTGAGGACCTTTTTGTTTTTCTGTTTGTTTCATGCGTGAGGTGATTGTTAAATGAACTCTGCAGAGGCAAATACAGACCCCCAAATGCACCTGCTGATGGTGAAAAACCGTTGTATCTTCACATATCTGCTGCGGCTCATGTGAGTGTTCACACTGTAATTCCATTTTACAACTTGTAAATTCCCTTTGGACTATGAATAATCAATTTCCAGTTTGCTTAGCGTTTGCATAACAAAATTTTTGTCCCAGTGGAGATGGTACTATGTTGACTCTTCGTAGTCAATAGTTGGCAGATGGGAAATGAGTTGATTGTTTTACAAAATATATAAGAATTCAAGTGTTCCCATGACCAACTCTTCCAAGCTCCTTAAAGTTGGCTTAATGCGTACTAGGCCAAAAGTTATTTCAGTGGTAGAGATGGTACCTTCATTAGTCAATTGTCATCAGTATTTCTTGATAAGATTACTTATTTGTGTGTAACAACTACTGTTAAAAAACCGCTATCATGTTATTGGGTTCCATTTGACAAAAGATTGTGTTGTCTAAGGAGTTTTTTCTAATTTACTTTGGTACGCTGAATGTACTTATTGGTTAATATCTATGTATTCTTTTGCTTACTTCAGTTGGAAACAACAGCAGAACGGATCAAGGCAGTTGATCATGCAGCTGCAATGGTGGAAGAAATGCTCAAGCATGGGTCTTTCAGCAATACCATGAATGTAACAATTCATTTTTTTTTTTTTTTTGCAAATTTGTTCAAAGATGCAGTACCAAGAAATTTGATAAGCACAGTTGTCTTTTTTTGATCAGGTCAATCCCTCACTGAGTGCTTGTGTGTTTTTGGGCTTTGAAGCAGATCCCTCTCTGAATGTTGCTGCTCGAATTCGTGGACCAAATGTGAGTTTTTAGTTCATTCTCTTTTTTGTCTCCTTGTTATTTTCTCCTTCTCCTGCTCTTATCTTCTTTGAAGGTGGTTGGAAGTTTTTCCTTTCTTTCCTTGTATTTTTTTCTGTTTCTTTGCTGCATGGCGAAATATTCTGATCTTTCAAGCTCTCTCTGACATCTCCAAACAATTGGGAGAGATTCTTTTTGTTGCTGCTTGTTGGCTTTTTTATGTGCAGGACCAGTATGTAAATCACATCATGAATGAAACGGGAGCAACAGTTTTGCTAAGAGGACGCGGTTCAGGATATTGTGATAGTGTACAGGATGATGGTAGTCGTTTGCTTTAACCAGTTTTATTTTTTGATCTGTTAGGTTCTCTCTTCATTCTTAACGTGCCTTTGAGTCCACAGCTTTTACTCTCTTTGTAGAAGGTCAACAACCATTGCATTTACTTTTGTCGAGCAGTAATGCAAAAAGTCTTGAACGTGCTAAGCTCCTTGCTGAGAACCTTTTGGACACAATCAGTGCAGAGTTTGGTGCATCAAGGTAAATGGGCATAATTAGCTTTCTGTAATTATTTATTGAAAACAGAAAAAGCAGAACTGAGATCACTAAAAGGAGAGCTGCATGCTTGGGTTGGACGGTAAAGCAGTTTGAACCCTTTATCTGTTTATCCTTTTTGTCTCGTCTTAAATTGGAAATGACAAACATGGTTCTTGTGTTATTTTATCAATCTTTAAATGGAAACCAGAAGCCTCTCATACCTTATAAGACATTCTATTCTGCACTGTTATTTGACAATATTTGTTATTGTTTACTCTTGTGATGTACTGAGCTTGTTAGTGCTTCTTAAAGAGAATAACTTGTTGCTGTGCTGTATTTCAAAGGGTTTCCTCATCTAAAGTTTATGGTGCTGTTCCTCCGCCACCACAGTTACTTGCTGGAGTTCAGAGTTCCTTGGATGAGTCAAACCCAAGTGTCCCACCGTCTGCCAGCTTGACTGCATCAGCTGCACGGTCTATTCCATCAACAGTTTCATCAATCTCAATTCCTGGTGCATCTAGTATTGCTTCTCAAGGGCCTGTACCACATGCTGGATGCTCAAATCCTGCATCTGGGCTGTCTCATGCGATTACTGGTGGTTATTCCCTGTCTTCATTGACTGGTGGGACGAGCTATAATGGTTATGATGGAATATATCCCCAAGCAACACCTTTGCAACAAGTTGCCTTGGCCCTTAGGCAGTCAACTTCACCAGTTACTACTTTAGTAGCTCCTGCTGTTACAACTGCGAGCACAGCATCGTACACAAGTACGTGCTCCTCATCAGAGAAGGATAAGCGTTCTTCACAGAAAAGAAAGTTTCAGGAATTACCAGCAGTAGTTAAAAGCCTAGCAAATACAAACCAGGTATTGGTGGTCATTCTCCTATTTATCATTTTCTGTGGTAGCTGCTACTGTTTGACAGATTTTCAAGTTTAAACAGTCCCCTCCCCACTCAAAGGCAAAAAGGGAAAAGGGCTACAGAAAAAGAAGAGGATAAGAAAGAAAGAATTCAGATTTACTCTTAAAATGTTCTCATCATCCATTACGCACTGATGTCTTGCTTCTGGAACTGTTAGTCCCTATGTAGTAGTATTGCTACTACAATGTTATTTATTTTCTCACTTTATTACTTCTTGTTCCAGGTATTTTCTCTGATCTTTTATGAAGCTAACAGGCTGATACTGGACTTCTCTCGTGGACACTAATGTGTTTCACAGGGTTCCTTGTTCTGGAGGTGGCATGGGTTGCTCTATGCTGTACCATTTTCGTCTGGACTGAATTAAGATTGTGATTCCCTCTGGCGCAGAATTACATATATGCTCCTGTATTTCTTTGTGGATCATGCATTGTTTGAATTTGTTTATTTTTAATTTTTAAGGAGTGATCATAAGTGTTGGATTTGGTAGTTTAGCTGCTTCATTTCATTCATCTCCTAAATGCTTGAGGTGGCTTTGGATTCATTTTAGTTGCCAATCTATTGGAGTCACTCATTTTAAGTCCGGCTTTAATCTTTATTGTGCAACTACCCTAAAAACTACATGATTAATTCACAGTTTACACAAAGGGATGGCATAATCCTACATGTGGGCTGCCATTGAGCCCTTATATCACTTTAAATAGTTTCTGTGGCTGCTTCTGCTTGTGGGTATATGTTTTCTCTATATTCCAGATGCAGGAATATATAATCAAGACCTTAAGGCGTCAAAATGTTTTGCTGTATTTTGTTTCTTATTGCCACATTTTCTGCTGATATTGAGGATTTGTTTGGAACCTTTCTTGAAACTGTTACAGGGATCAGAACTTGCAGAGCCATGTGAACAAACATCAGATATACATGGAAAAGATATTAAAAGGTTGGTGCAGACATCAGCAAATGGAATAATTCCAATCCCTCCAAGAACAATGCCCCCGCCAACAATGCTGCCACCCCCACCAAAATTTACTACATCAAGACCTGGAATTTATGGTGGCAACAGCATCAACAATGGCTTGAAATCTGAAAGTGTACCTGGTAGTTTCATGGTTTCTTTCCTTTTGGTTTCTGATTTTGAGCCTAGATTGTAGAAAAGAAATATATACTAATTTCCTATAGAACAATATAACTGGTTGCTTGCGGATCTTTGCAAGATGCTTATTCTTGAAACTTTTTGACTTTCAGTATTATAAGCTTTGAGATTTATGCTTGTCAAGTTTTAATGAAATGTCAGTTTACATGTGTCTCAACTCCCCCCCCTCCCCCCAAAACCTTTTTCTATCTAGAGTTGTTCCTTATTTTCCACGGTCATCATTTCAGATACATTAATCAAGTTAATGGAATATGGGGATGAGGATGAGGATGATGATCTTGATGAACCAAATGAAGACTCCATCAAAAGATGCTCCAGTACTTTGGTGGCTCCAAAACCATTCTGGGCTGTCTGAGTCGCATGTAGCATCGTTGTCTGGCCTCCCGTGGAGATTTTGGCCGCATATTCTTCTTGATGCTGTAGGCTCTTATGCGGAATTTCAGTTTTAGAATGTGGTAAAATTTTGGTATACTGCATGTTCTGTGCAATTTTGTAGCTCTATTTCAATTTTTTTGTGGAATTCTTGAAGATCTGTTGGTGCTAATGCGTCACTTTCTTACATAGAATGGATACGGTGTAATAGAGATTATCCAGTTTTATTTCCGGGAAGGTTCTTGTAGTAGATTTGTCGATCATGTCATTGAGGCAGCAAAATCAAGACTTCAAATGAATCAACAGCTAGAGGTATTGAAAAACCGGCAGCGCTATTTGGAAAGTTAACAGTGCTAGAAGCTGGTTGTGGCCTTGCAGCTTTATTTCCCTTTGATTACAAGATTGAGATGAACCTGCCTTTTACATTCCAAATTTTTTAAAAATCATGAGCGCTGTTTCTATGCTTTTGCTTAATACAGAAATATCCATTGGACAAACTTCAAACGCGGAGAGCATTAAATGGAGCAAGCCGGAGTGCAACTAGTAAACAGCCAATTCAACTTTTGATTTTAATTTTTAATTTTTGAGCGAAACAAGCAACGCCCCCGTTAGACTAATCTTAGCTGCTAGCAGCTGGCAGGAGAGGAATCACCATATTGTATCTTGACGATCTCATTAAACACACAGCCGCAGAGAGAAAAAAGAAAAGAGAGGAAAGCATGGCAGACCACCAATTTTTACCTCTCCGTTTTCTTCGTGCACGGCACAACTCTAGGATTGTGTACAAGAATATATATAAAGCAGGTGTAAGGGCCGGTTACACAGCAGAACTACGATATCCCGGTATCATTTCACACCAATAGTAATCACGGTAAGAACTAGCGCAAGGCTTTGTTCATATGTACCAATACGGGGACAGCAGCAAAGGAGACAACGGGAATCACCTCCAAAACAAATCTTCACAAGTTTCGGATAAGATTCATCGACCATCACTAATTAGAAAATTGAAAATTAAACCTACTTGGGACAAAACACATGCAGCATTCAATGCTTTAATCCCGTGTGGTTTCTCGCTTTCCCTTTCCAAAGAAAGGAGTCCAGCCTTTCAGCTAATAAACCACGAGAAAGCTTCTGCATGCATAACACAGCATAGAAACATAAAACTTTATTTGGATAATCTCTTCAATTCCTCGCCCTAGAGCACTAGATTTGTGTACAAGCAGGTTCTTGATAGGGGAAAAGAGAACTTTCAGCCCCTTGTGTTGACGTAATCATTGGAATCATCTTCATCATCATCATTATCCTTGTAGTTTGCGTTCAGTGTGTCTTGGCCAAAATCTTCGTCAAGAGCATCTGCTTCCCCTTGATTGCCACTCAACTGTTCCTGAGCTTGTCCATATGGCGAGGCATTTCCATCAAAACCAGAGTTTGCAAATCCACCTTGATTAGATGAATCACTGCTCAAGTAGTGGCTATCTCCACTAGCACCAAAATTGCCAGCGTTCCCATCACCAACTCTACTTCCGTAATTGCTGCCACTGAACCCATCCATCCTGCCATCCCCACTAGCATATTGATTGCTATTTCCATAGTTTCCACTATCATATCCACCTCTTGGGCCACCACCTCCATAACCGCCACTTGCATATCCTCCAGGGCCTCCATAACCACCATTTCCACGACCATAGTTAAAGCCGCCACCGCCACCATAACCATAGCCACCATCAAATCTTGGAGCCCGAGGCCTGTCATTTGCATAATTCACCCTTATCCGTCGGCCATGAAGATCCTTAAGGAAAACAAATCATACTGTTAGTTAGGTTCCCAAATGTTATGGTCGGTAAACTTTCACCTTATACAACAAAAGAAGTAATTTGGTAAAAGAGACAGACATGCAGAACTAGTATTACAGTGGAAAACAGGAACACAATTTAAAAAAAAAAAAAACTAATTAATAGACATTCTGCTGATATCCAGATATAACTTTATTGTAAGTTATTCATCAATGGTGAACCCTTGAGACAAATTTATCACATTGCCTCTTTGGGGACATGCAACTCAACCATTCAGTCAGTCAGGCATGCATCTCCATACTTCATTGAGATAATTGATTTAAGTCATTCGAATGATCTCTCTTTCTACTGCAATCATCCGAGTCAAGCATAATAGTCACCTATTTCGATACGGTTCACTCATGTACAATGTTGTATACAGGATGACAACCACTAATCATGAAAAGAATAATTCAGACAGCTCCTCTCTCTCTCTCTCTCTCTCTCTCTGACAAAAAATATAAAATAAAATAAATAACCAAAAGAAGCAAAACTATAAAAAAAACCATTAGTACCTGGCCGTCAAATGCCTGAATAGCTGCTGAAGCCTCCTCACTAGAGGCATAAGTTACAAAGCCAAAACCTCTTGAGTTTCCATGGTCACGATCCATGATAATTCTAGCTGTAAGTAAAGTGTATAAATTAATAAGTAACAGAAGCTTTATACTTGGATACAACATTGTTCCCATTGTAAACTAATTTCACATGCAGGATCTAGAAATCTCTCTGTGTCAATCTTTTTTTATCAAGATTGCTTTCTGCAGTACCAACAAATAAAAACAAACACGAAACTTGCAGAACAGAAAAATTCCAAGCTTTGCCCCATTGCATACAAACATACACATACAAAAATTTTGTATCGAGATACAAGGATACGTGATCTTTAGAAATGAAAAACTATTCCTCAAGATCTACATGGAAATCTCAATTTTGGGGTAAATATTTACTGGTTCGCAAGATTATCAAACTCATTTAAATGTCAGAGGTCAGACAAGTGTATCAACCACAAAAAAAGTATGACAGAAATCAAGGGATCGATTATGATGGTGCGAGCAAACTGCTGAATACCTTCAACAACTTCGCCATGCTGAGAGAAGGCTTCCTTCAAACTCGTCTCATCAGTGTTGTAAGAAAGCCCTTCAGGAATAAAACATCAGTTGACTTTGGAGAGCAAAAAGCAGCAGAAAGAAGAATTTTGGGAAAAAAAAAAAACAGAGAGAGAGGAGTGAACATATTACCTCCAACAAAGAGCTTTGAAGATGACATGCTTCTTATAGTCTGGTAAAGTGACGAGTTGGAAGCAGATAATTCCAAATTCATATGCCTGCTCACTCTCAGTTTAAGCACATTGCTAATTCTATTGACAAAAGCCATGTCTACACCTAGAACAAAGTACACAAAGTCATTGCCATTATTTCATAATAAACCAGTTGCAGAACAAAGCCAAGAACAATATACACACTGAACTTCAGAACACAGGCAAAGGAAAACTTTACAAAGAAATAACCACAATTACTGCATGGGACAAGGTGAACTAACATATTCGCAGACTTTAGAGAATCATATGGGTCAAGAAAGATCGCTTAATTTCTTTCATACGAGCGAAAAACAACATGATAGGTGTACCAGCAGTAGGATGAGAAAAATCTAGAAAATAGCCCAATTTTTTTTGTTGAAATCAAGCCCAGTAACTTGAACGAAACAAGGAATATGATATAGTACAACAAGAACCCATCTTTTTCCAAACGGACAAACGATTTTGATAATACGCAAGGTACCTAAACCAAATGCATGATATTACTAAAGCCCTTCGTCTTAATCAGGAAATACACACAAGCCCCAAATTGAATTGCAAGTAGTCAACAAGAGGGTACAACCGCAAATAAAATCTAACGAATAAAAAGTGATAAAACCATAACCCTTAAAAGAAGCTCAACAATCGCGATAAAACTGAAATGAAACGCTAAATTAGAACAGTAGAATCAATATTCTAAACATTTCTTACTATAAAATGTCAAGAAAAAGGTTTACGGTTTTGGGAGAAGACGTATGATTAAGTGCCAAAAGACTCAGACCTTCTCTCTGACAGCGGCTGCCTCTGCTTCCGTTGTCCCTTCCCTTCCGGAAATGGACCTGCGAGGGTTTTAGGAGATTTACAGTGGCAGAGGGCCGAAATACTTTATAATGGGGGGAGGAATGTTTACGCCGTTGATCTAAACTACATAGGTACATGATTACCGTTGGATGGCCAGTAAATAATGAGGTCAAATTCAAGGTCGATTTTTCTTTTAATTTTTTTTTTTTTTGACGAGAATGAAATTGATCACATTAAATTATCCATCCATCATGTTGGGGTGAAAAGAAATGAAAATCCCTCAAAATTGACTTAATGATGAATAATCCTTGATGTTCCTGAATTCACTTACCTCAAAATTTTCCTAGTTTGTTAAATAGAATTAAAAAAAATGGTATCATGAGATAGATTAAAATTTATGCCAATAAAAGTTATTGAGTAAACTATATGTAGTTAGCAATTAAGAGTGAAGTAGAGGGAAGCAATTAAAATCCTGTTGAACATTGAAATCTGTGAAAGTGTTCAATTGAATGGAGATGGAGGCCGATGACCCATCACATTACATCGTTGGATACAAATGAAAACTTATTTGATTGCATTATAAATATATGTTTTATTTATTTTTTAATTCTTTTATCTAACATACATATGTAACATTATAAAAAAAAAATGATACAACAATTAATACTCTAAAAAATTTTTCTAAATACTAAATATTCCTCTATCACAGCACTTTTCGAGGTGCCATGCTTGACAACATGTTTTGGAGTTAACTGTCAAAGAATTAAGACATGAGTAGAAACAGAGTAGTTTTCTTTTTCTTTTGTTAAAGAATCGTTATGCCAGTCGTTGTAAACGATCAAAGTTCCCATAAATTGGTTTCTGCAGCTTTTGGACATGTTAATAGTAGCAGTAATAGATTTTGAATCAGCCACAGGCAAACTCACTCCCTTGTATGTTATCAAATCATCAGAGACTTAATAAGGGCCACAGAGTAATGGTTAAAGGCTAGGTAAAAAAAGGCTAGCTCCGGAGAACTTCTGCTGGTTTTCCTGCGACTTGACCAAGCGACTTGGCTTACAAATTCTTGAAGCAATTAAGCAAAGCAGACCCATTATGCCTGCCGTCTTTGCAGCTTCATCTTGACTCATTGATGTTTCTCAACCATAAATATGGACTTCTTGCTCTTTATTTCAGGCAACATAGTCTCACTGGTTGATGGTGACAATCTGCATCAGTCACTCAACGATTGGTGCAGGGCCTACAAAGATGTAATATCGGCAATTGGGCAATCTCTCATCTGGTCTTTGCATTTCACATGACATGGGCATGAATTCTCTCGACTTCCACAGTAGCATTAGGACCACAACATCTTG